GTGGGTGGTGTGGGGGGGGGGGAGTGATAGAGAGGAAATGGAGAGACAAAGAATTCTTTTATTTCACACTGCTATAAAAAAGTTTGACATTTTGCAAACAATTAAATAAGAAAATTGATGGCATCGTCACATTTGTACAGTACATGTGTTGCAGATAATTAGCTTAGCTTATCACAAAGACTGGAAACAGGGAAACAACTACTCTGGCTCCATCAAAAGGTAACAAAATCCACCCACAAGCACCTCTAAAACCCAGTCATTTACTTCTTATATCCTGTATATGCGTTATAACTGGTTTGGGTAATCTGTTCTTCAGACAGTCTAGCTGTTATTTCCCCATAACCTGTATCTGTGCTAAGCCCTTAACTGGCAGGTGGCAGTAGCTTTATGTTTACTATAAGGACATGATAATGGTATTAGTCTTTTTACCTGACTCTTGACAAGAAGGCAAATAACCATATTTTTCAAAATAGCTAAATTGTCCGTTGTTGTTGTTATTGTTTAAATCAGGGGTTTTCAACCAAATGCAACACAGGGACCACCATTCTGAATGTACTGGGTTGGCTACACCAGATGCATGGGCACTACTTTAATCCTGAAAGTCACTATGGCTTATTATTGAACACATGGTCAGGGACCACCTGCAATGCCTATGCGGACCACCAGGGGGCCGTGGACCACTGGTTGAAAACCGCTGGCTTAAATTAATCTGCTGGCTTATCAAACACTCAAATTGTGTGTGGAAACTTGTATGTTCAGTCCAAAGACATGCAGCTGCGGTGAAAAAGAAACTAAATAGACCATACAGTAGGCTAGGATGTGTGTTATCCTTCTGATAAATGTATGAGCAAACAGCAGGAGACATATTTTCACTATGACATCCACAGTCAATGTGTGCATGTGTTTCACAGGCATGCCAAGCAGAGGGTCAAGAGAAAAACCTACTGACCTTGGCAGCACAACTGTACTCCCTCACCCAGATAAAGGTATGTACAAACACACATACTCAAAAATACAAACACACAAAATGTTAGTACCGCTCTACATTACTCTCTCCACGTTTCAGGCTTCAACGGACAAAGTCACCTAGCAACAGCTCTCATTATCGCCATGTCGACCATCTTCATCATGGCCATTGCCATTGTCCTCATCATCATGTTTTACATCCTGAAGGCCAAACCAAGTGGCCAGGGTAACACATATACACACAGACACAGAGTCTCATCTTAAAGGGAAGCCTTTGTGTTTATGACCTTCCATGTGTGTTTGTGTTTGCAGTATGCTGTTCGGGACAAATTGTGAAGGCAGTGGAGGCTCAGAACAACAAACAGGAAGAAAAGAAAGATGTCCCTGGTGAGACATGACACACAGACACACACAATGAATAATTAATTAGCTCACACCGTTTTTAAGTGTCTTAATTGCTTCCTGTTTGCTGCCTTTGACAAGCTGATCTAATTCTAATTCCATAATTGCGAGCGTCTAGCAGTTTGTTTACATGGTTATGAGCCTTTTTCTAGTTTTGATTATGTTCCAGATGTGATGTTTACATAAAATATAAATGATCCTGTTATTCATAGAATTGTATACATGATCCTAATGTCAGCCATATGCGTGGGTGCAGGCATGCTTTTGACTCACTACTCCAATCTAGTATATTAATTGTTTCTCAAAATTGGAATAATGGCTTCGGTCCAGGTTCTGACCACAAATGCTGTATAATGTAATACTCCAAAAATTCATTTTAATAACTGGAATACTAGTGAGTAGGTGAGGAACTCACTGTCAGACTAAGTGCAGCAATATTGTGCCATTAATATGACTTTCATTTCAAGAAGACTATGCATACAAATGGTTAGATGCAAGTGATTTTTTTCCATTAAACTAAAGCTGGACAGTAAAAGTCTACAGTACTTTGAGATCATATGAAGTAAATGGTATAAGATATTTCTTTTGGAATTCAAAAGGTACAAAAGTATAAAGTATATTTTGAAATAGCTTCTTATAACCTGGAAAAAGCAAACATAAAATGCAGAAACAAAGTAAAGCATGAACATACAATACTTTACTAACATTAGAGAGTGTTTATGTGAGCTTATATGCAGACCATCTACCCATCCATCCACCCATTATCTATACTGCTTGTCCTGAAGAGGATCACAGGGGTGCTGGAGCCAATCCCAGCTGAAATTGGGTGAGGGTCTACCCTGGGCAGGTTGTGCAGACCACGTTTGCCCCCTACCATTCTCAATGCTTTCATATGTGTAAAAAAAAAAAGAGCTGGCCAACAGATCATTACCATGCTTCCATAATCTCGACTCACCAATTTCACAATTCCCAAAAAAGAGCCTACTGAGTTATGAACTCAGTAACAGATAAACTATAATTACTTTTAGATTATAAAATTACTCCAAAATTGCCGCAGTGGCATAGCGCACAATTTGCTTGAGAGTCAGCTGAGGTATGAACATATACCACCCAGAAGTGATTAGAGCAACACTGTGTATAACTTCACTCAGTCGTGCAGCAAAATTCTTTCTAAGCTAACTGGCTTATTTGTTGACACCAACACTGTAGGCTATCTGTGGACATCTGCAACATCATTATGTAACATTCTTCTGTGGTGTTATTTGTTTGGAGCTGTAAATAGCAGATTTTTTGGTAACTATTTCATGTGAAAGAAGCGTTTCCTTCTCTGGAACAGCATGTATGTCTGTATAATTTATAGAACATGTTAAGATCTGCCCTGTAAGGACTAATACAATATAAAGGTGCAATCAAACAAACCGTATCATTTCATCAGATCTAGCTGAATCACATTTAAACACAAATACAGTGTGGGCGCTGTGTGTCAGTCTAGTAAGTAAGTGAATATTTATGATTTTTAGCATAATGTAAGCAAATGCAGGTGTGTACTTTGTGTGTGTGTGTGTGTGTGTGTGTGTGTTGGTGCATGTAGCCTGACAGCCCTGCACTTTGATGAGTACTTCTTGGTGGAATGTGAAGCTTCCAAAGTTAAAGCTATATGTGGCTCCAGGAGCCATTTCTCCTGACAAAGATGCTCTGTAAACCTTCAAGCTCAGACTGACTGACTGACTAACCACTTACATGTGGTGTGCATGAGAACACACACTTACTGGAGCTGTGGCTACAGACACATTGTGTGGTACAACGAGGTCACTAACTCAATAATGTAATGCTAAAGAAAACATAATAGAGTGGTTAAGGTATGACTAAAAATACATATCTGCTTTGTTAGTTATGTTATGTTGAGTTATCATGAGTGTGTGAAGGCATTTTGAATGACTGTGTGTGTAGAGTATGTGGGAGAGAAGCCCATACCGGAGCTAGCTGTCACTCATGGAGGCACTGACTTAATACCGCTGTGAGATGAAAGACACAGACACATTAATTCTCTCTCTCTCTCTCTCTCACACACACACACACACACACAGCATTACTTCCACTTAAGTATTCACTCATTATGCTGTCTATTCCTATCAGTATCAATGAAGCAAGCCCAATTTAACTTAATAGTCAGTGTAATCATTGTCTAGATCATTCTAACAGCAGCTTCTCTGTTCCAGGTATAAATCCTTTTGGCCTCAGGAATCTCTTCTCTTTTGTGTACGCTAACACGTGCCAAAATCTATTTATAGATGTTGATTTAATCTGGTCTTGCTTAGTAATAAAAGATCAAAGCCCACAAAATTGGATTTGAGATCTTGTCTCTATTCACATCTTTAATCAGCATTGGCACTAGTGCACTGTACCACGCAGCACTTGCATTACACTAAATGTTTGAAGTTCAGGTGTTTGGATTTTTACCTCCCTGCATTTCAAAATGTGTTTTAGCAGAAACTATTTTATATTATTTTATTTGTTGTTTTCTGTTTAGTGCATGTCACAGTGAGATATATCAGTACATAGCAGTTAAAATGCCAATATATAAATTTTAAAAGAAGAAATAAGACTCAGATGACAGAAATTTCAATTTGCCATTCTCCAGCAGAGTTCTTTTCTCCATAAATAATAGAACAACAGACCTTGAACTAATGTCCTTGAAGTAGAATTGCAGGGTTGTATTACTGACCTCTTTCTCTCTGTTAGATATAGTCCAAAAAAAAAAAACCCAAACCAACACCCGTAAACCTTTCGTTTTCTCTCTTAGATAATGTGGTGATCTACTCAGAGAAAGATGAGTTTGACAAACTAAAAGCTCCTCCTCAGAAGACTGTGAAAAGGTGAGAGACAGCTCTGATTCACACACAACTGCACCACACTGCCCCTCTTCAGTTTAACAAGCTGTGAGCAGATAAACTCTGATTCACATCGATCAGCGGTCAAATCCAGGCAGCATAATGATCCCTGTAGTAAAAGAACTGGTGGAAATGGAGATACAGCACATTTTGAGCTATAAAAAAGATTTCCAATGGCGGACACGGTCCTTTATCGATCACTGCAGGGCATGCAGTTGTAATACCATTTTACTGTTTAACTTCATCCCCAACATATGCCAATGTACCATGATCTTTGAATGTGCATTGTATGTGTGTTTATTTGTACTATAGGCGGCATCATAGAGACTCTACACAACAGAAAGAAGCTTTTATCATTTTTCCAGCATCTGCACGTAATTAAGTCACCACAGAACAAGTCACTGCAGTAGTAGTATCATTGCTGCTGGCTTGTCTTTTTCCCCCCTGCTTTTTCCACACACAGTATATGCATGTGTGTGTGAGGCATGTTAAAAACAAGTTCAGTTGAGGTTTCTTTTTAATGAAGCAGAGCTATTATGTGGCTTTGGAGCAGGCAGAGACGTGGGGTTGGGGGGTGCAAGGTAGTACAGATGAGCCCTGAAGCTTAGCAATCGCTGTGAGATGAGCAGGCGGGGTAGTTATTGGAGCGGATAGGGGTATTTATTCCAGACATCACCTAAAACCACCACCAGGTGAAAGCACGTCTGGGCAGACAACAAAAGAACAACAGTTTTCTCACCTTTTTGCATACATCTCATCTCCCATGTGCAGACAATGCTGCTTTATAAGTGCAGGAGAAGCATGGAAATTCATGCTAGAGCTCAGTATAGCACATAAACAGACAGTGAGCCTTTGTGCTCAAATGGTACAGTCTTTGTAGCATACGTGATTAGATTGATACACTGCTCCAATATATGCAAGGGGTATAAAATAGGGAATAGGTGAGACACACACACACACACACACTTCACAGCATCAACAGCAATAAACACTGTGGTATAGCAGCATGCCAAAGGATGTGCTAACTCACTGTTTTAGCTGCCAGAGTGGGTGTTAGATGTCGGGCAAACAATGCCATTTTGTGTGTGTGTTTAGAGGAAAAGAGCGTGGGACTGCAAAACAATGACATCCTGTCAGCATCTCTGTCAACAAGGTGCTTTTTCTAGAAAATCCAGAACAAGCGCAGAGAGGGAGAGGACAGGTAATAAAATGATATTACATGGTATCATGTTGTACAACTTGTAGCTATTCAGTCAATCACAGGAGCGGCGTAGAAACACCAGCAGCTATGGCAACAACAGCAGCATTCTTTCCCAGTTCATTTTCATTTGTCAAAGTTCCTGTTTGCAAAGACACAAGTCATTCTGTGTGCATTAGTCTCACCAGAAAAACAGTTTGTACTGGAAATTAAATAACTCCTTTTGCATTAATATGTATGAGTGTAAAGCAGCTGACAGGTTCCATCACAGGTACACACTCAGTGGACAGTTCATTATGTACACCTAGTAAAATAATAAACCCTACCTTAATGATGGTTATAATGTTCGTGTGTGTGTTTTGTGTGTGCAGTGAAAATGACGCATCATCAGAGAATGAGCAGCTGTTGAGCCGCAGCATTGACAGCGATGAAGAGGCAGCGTCTGAGAAGCAGGGTTCAGCCAATACCAGTAACCTCGATCCAAACCTGGGTCTTGTCAACCGGAGCAACAAGCCCGACCTCTGCCTTCTCAATCTGGGCCTCTTGGACCGAGACCATATCTGCAACGGGACCCCTACCATCACAGCTGGCCAGGCCCACAACATCCCAAATACCAACCACATCACCAGCACTAACCACATCAGCAGTGTGAATGCAATCAACAACAACAATAAAACCCCAGGGGTAGGAAAGAAGGGCATTTTGAAAGATGTTACTGCAGTAAAACAAATTATGATAATGAACAGACCCTCATCCGAGTATCATCTGGAAATCATAGGGTACTTGTTTTTTTTTTTGTTTTTTTTAACCACACAGATGCTGCAGAGTCGAAGGAAAAAGATCCTGGATCTGTATGCCAGAGCCTGCAATGTGACAGAGGGTAAGTCTGTCACACAGAGAAACATATCCATTTTATCAAGTTTTTAATTCAAGAATGAACTTCTGCCTATACTTCTGGTGAAAATGGACTCTTCTTAAGGACTGTGTTCAAGTGAGAAATTATATTCTCTGTGATTTTCAGTAAAATTGCTAAAAGAAGTGAAAGTACATCTGAAAGAGTTAAATATCTCACTACACTATTATTTTTCTACAAGAAAATAAAATGAAGACTAAAACGAACAATTGTTTGTCTGCGTGTGATACTTTTGTCCCTCTCCAGGCCTCAGCCCCACAGAGCTTCCCTTTGACTGTCTGGAGAAGGCCAGTCGCATGCTGAGCTCCTCCTACAGCAGCGAGGCGGCTGTGGTGAAGACGTGGAGGCACCTGGCCGAGAGCTTTGGCCTGAAGCGTGATGAGATTGGCGGCATGAGCGATGGCCTACAGCTCTTTGAGAGGGTGAGCACGGCGGGCTACAGCATCCCCGACCTCCTGACCCGCCTGGTGCAGATAGAGAGGCTAGACGCTGTGGAGTCACTCTGCTCAGATGTGCTGGGCAGCAGTGAGATGGCAGTTGGACGGCAGGGAATCGGCACCTTTCACAGCCAGCTGGTCTGTCCATCCCCGTGCCCATCTCCATCCCAGCGCTGCGCCAGTGTCTAAATATATGGTGGAGCAGAGACTTGCCCAACAGTATACATATACAGTACATTTATGTGAGGACAGATACTGCTGAGAGAAGGACAGCACATATAGCGTACACACATTACCCCCACCACATGAAGAATATCAATGGACCTTCCCAGGCGCAGTCTTTTTATCCTATCTGGGGTTTTCTCTGTCAAGAAGCTAGTCACCTGAAATGGTTTGTATGGTCTTTGTAATGTACTCCAGAGTTTGAGAAGGACAAAAATCAAAGGCCATAGATTAGGACTGTCCACCAGCTGGCTACTGCAGTTATTTTATTTTCAGCAAGAATAAACTAATCAGAATATGTTTCTGTTTTATTAGGTTGTTGTCCTTCTCAGAGTCTTAGCAGAAAACAGCTGGGTTTACTGTGCGCTGGACGCACCACAATAACAACTTTCTTTTTCCAAAGTTTTGGTACAAAAATTCTTATGCAGTTTAACAAATCATATAAAAGGATACAATGGTGTGCATCAGTGCCAATTAGTACCTTTCTTACAGGCACACCGGGTTTATAACAGAGCGTCCTCTCACTGAACCTTCTGCTTCATCCTGCTCCTGACACAGTGAGATGTTTGTGTCTGTGTACAGAAACAACCTGGTCTAACCACAGCATCAGTTCACATTCGTGACTGTGCCTTTGGCTACGCTGTCATCCCAACAGGAAAGACGGCAGATACAAGCTCCCTACTTAGGATGCAATCATTGTGCCTGGCTGGAAATGATAAAACATCATTCAGCTTTCATCTGGTAGACATGGCTTGTGAACTTTGGGCATTTGTGAATAACCCTGTGTCTCTTGTTGACTCACGATTAAAAAAAAAATTGCTCAGAGATATTACGTTGGTATTGTTAACTTGCTTAAAACTACTGTCTAGTGTCAGTTTTGGATTGATTCTGCAATGTTGTTTACCAACAACAACAACAGCTCTTTCTACAACAGCTTCCTCAGCAGTGACCTAGTCGGTGACCTCCCCGGCTCGTAACTCCTTCCTCTCCCCTTTTTGCTTCCCTGTTGCCCCAGTGCTGTGGCCCAGTGCTTCCGCCAGCCCTAATTATTTGGTGTGTGGCTCCCTGGGCCCCTAATAGGATGAAGTGTTGTGGTTTACAGAGCGGGTGCAAAGTGCCTGTGCTTTCCAGCACCCTATTAAGTATTTAGGGCCACTTAACCACTGAAAGCTTAGTGGAAAATCTGTTAGCGCCTGCATTAAAAAGATAGATACCATGGCAGGGGTATGAATAACTGCCCCCGGGATTGCTACACTGTGAACGGCACAAGAATGCAGCGGGTCATGGTGGAAGCAGCGATATCTTGCTCATTTTTTGTGGTCATGCTCAGACAGGATTTAAGCTCCCCTCTCCACTTTGGCACCAATATAGCAAATGAGAACAATATGCAGTTGTGTGGTTTGTCCACTTCTGAAAAGCAGCTGAAGCCAGTTACATAAGTCAGACTGAGGGTGGCTCCAATAAGCATCCGGTTAAATGTTGTGAAGAAATGCTGATCTTAGCTCCAATTATAGTGTTGATGTTTACAGATGCTGTAGTATAATGTCCTGCTTTATCTATTGGTTAAACTCAAGCAGTGAGCTCCAAAATTCAACTTAAACAAGCAATGCAAAGACCCAGTTTGATCTTATTTCTGGGGAATAGGAGTGATCTGGTGCCTGTTGTTGTCAGCATAATGTCCTGTGACTGATCTGCACAGAATCAAACACACCACCTGCTGCCAAGTTCATTTTTTAAAATTATTTTTGGTTGTATGTGAAATTGCAAACTCTGGGGCTGGACTCCAGGACTTTAAATTAATGTGCATGTTTATCAAGCATGTATTCATATTTTATTTCCTTTAAGATGTCTTGTCAAGGCAAATTAAATAGTGCAAATCAAATATATCTACCTTCTTAGAGCAGGGCACCAAATCCAGTTAAATTCAAAAGAGGTTTAGTTATATTTTTTTGGTTATTGAACTTCTGTAAATGATCTAAGTGCTGGATTGACCTGAAATGAAATGGAACCAAGCCCTGTTTTCAAACAAAATCTTGTCTTGATATACAGTGGGTACGGAAAGTATTCAGACCCCCTTAAATTTTTCACTCTTTGTTATATTGCAGCCACATGCTAAAATCATTTAAGTTCATATTTTTTCTCATTAATGTACACACAGCACCCCATATTGACAGAAAAACACAGAATTTTTGACATTTTTGCAGATTTATTAAAAAAGAAACTG